GATTAATAGATCTTGACAAAAATAACTAATTTATATTAATAAACGATTGGCTCAGATGTCAGATGATCCTTTTTTTTTGGCGATCAACCATTAATTTTCAAAATTGCAGGTAAATTTGCCTGCAAAACCGTTAAGGTGATAATATAAAATATATATTATTAAGCAATTTTAATTATTTAAATTAGTTTATTTAAATTTTATTATATTAATAATAAATTTAATATTGGTAAATTTAATAATTTATATAGATTATTTTAAATAATTAAAATAATCTATAAAATTACTTTTAGAATTTAATAATATACTAAATGATATATTATTATTAAAAATTTAAAGAAAACTTATTTAATTATACAATATTTTTTTTATTTTTTCTATTATTAATTTTACTATAATTAATTCTTTATAAATATATTATATGGGAGGTTTGCTAGGAAAATAGGACTCTGAGCATTTTTTATTAAAATTTTAATTTTTATTGCATTTTAATTTTTGATAATGATAGATTCAAATACAATAAAAATTAAAATTTTAATAAAAAATGCTTAGAGTCCCATTTTCCTAGCAAATCTCCCATATATTAATATATTTCTATTTAAATATACTATTTAATCTAATTTAAATTAGAAAGTTAGTATTAAATGCATATTTTTACTACATACTATAAGGATTTTTAATTTTATTTATATAGAAATTTTTAAATAAATATTGTTAATAATAAGAATCAACTTTATTATGCTGACCTATAACTTATTTTTGATGATTCTTATATAATTAAAAAAATAATTAATTTATGTTAAAATAAGAAAATTCTTTTTAATTAATATTATATGAAATTATTTACTAAAAAAACATATATTAAATATATTACATATAAATAAATTATTTTTCAATAAATTCATTTTTTTTCATTATAAAATATTATATATAGAAAGCTTACTAGAAAATCAGGTTCTAAAAATTTTTAATAAAATTTTTAATTTTTATTATATTCAAATTTTGATAATATTAAATTAAAATACATTAAAAGCTAAATTTTATTCAAAAAATTCTTAAATTCTGATTTTTTTAGCAATCTATTAATATAAATAAGAATATTACAAAACTATAGATATTTTTAAAATAAGTTACAAATATATCATCTAAAAATATAAATTTTATTTTATAATTCTTAATATGTTTTATAAAATAATATATTATTTAAATTAAATTAATAATTCTTTACAAATTTTTTATTTTATTTTTTATATTAAAATATCATTTAATAGCTAAAATTCAATAATTTAATTTGATATTTAAAATATTTATTTTAAATTGGATATTTTGAATATTTTTAATAAAAAATCTTAGAATTTTATATTAATTTTTATTTATCATTAACAATATTTTAAATGTTAAAACTTGATAAAAGATTATTAAATTCTTATTAATATACTATTTATAGAATTTTAAAAAGATTTAAGAATTATATTTTCTAATACTTTTTTTAAGTTTAAAAGATATATTTTACTAATATTTTCTTAAATTTTTATTAAAAAATATTTTTGTTATAATTTTTCTGATATTTAATAGTATATGATCTTTTTTTATTTGACATTTAATTAAATTAATTTATTACTAATAAATTACTTTTTTATAAATTCTTTTATTTTAAAAACCCAAAGCACAAAGTGATCAATTACGTATCGACTCAATTTTGAGCGGCAGGATAAACGGACATATGGGGCCTTTGCAATAGAAAGGGGGGAAACTGCCGGGAAAAATTAATTTTACTTTTATATACCAAATATGATAAATATGATTTTTACGGCTGAAATATTCAAATTTAGCATTAACTCATTTTTGATTTTTCCCGGCAGTTTCCCCCCTTTCTATTGCAAAGGCCCCATATATAGTCCTTCCGTTACACTCCGGACTAATAATTGTTTAATTATTTATATAGATACCATTTAAATAATATTAATAAATAAATTCAATTATACTTTATACGTTATAACTTCGTTTTATAAGCATTTTGTTTTTTTTAATTACCCTACATATCATTTTAATTAATTAAACTTCTACCATAACTATTTTTTAACGGACTTATTGATACTTATTATAATAAGATTTTGTTAGAAACATCATAACAAATAAAATATTTACAGTATCATTATATGATAGTAATACTTTATTTTTAAATGTCTTATAAAAACGGTGATCAAAATTTCTGACCAATGAGGAGAATTCTTCATAGGTTGTTTGTAATACGTCGTTTATTATCAGCATGGGCTTCTGGTTCGTTAGGCTTCCCTTATTATTATCATAAATAATTTTGACTATTTATTGTTTATTTTCTCGATTAGATTTGTATAATTAAATATCAAATCTGATTTTTTTAAAAAAAAAAATTATTAATTATTGAACTTTCCCAACATTATCTTATCTATCATCGCACAATAATGTAAAAATCAATCTAAATTAAGTTATCATATTTCAAAATTTCTTGGTTTAAACTTGTTTTTTTTTAACGCATTGACTATTTATTGTTCATGACATTTTAAAAATTAAAAATGGAATCGTTTGTTTGTCAATAAATAGATAAATATATATATGTTTTTTGACCAAGCCTGTTGATGTTCCTGTCAATTGAATGAGATATATGACCCTTTTGTGATGTGAAAAAAAAAGTCCCTTAAAAATTACCATAAATTAACTAGCTTTTCTTTTTTGAGAATTCTTAGATTAGAATTATAGAATCGTGTATAGATTATTTGGTCGGATAAATATTTATTCCCAACTTACAAATTTAAATAGTACTACTATACTATTGAATTTTATTTTCAGATAACGGGGAGGCTAAGTACCCGTCCCATAATATTTGGCCGTAAGATTAAGACGGTATTTTTTTTTGATTAAAAATTTTCGGAGTAAATTTTTTTTTAAAGTTTGATATTGAAGATAATGTTCATTATCTCTATATTATCTATCTAAAAAAAAAAAAAAAAAAAAAAAAAAACTTGATTTTTTCTCGTTTTTTTTTAAAAAAACAGGTTCATTTAATAGATTATCACATGATCAGATCCGCTCAAAAAGAGAATTTTCAGATATACCACGATCAAAACAAACTCTGTAATTTGTTTGACATTCATCCGAAGGAGATATTTTTAAAATTAATGTTAGTATCGGAAACACAATACGCCCGTTGCAAGATACACACAAATAGTAATTCCGTACAATATAAAAAATTTTGCTTTTTTTTTAATGAAATAATAACTGTACAAAAAAAAAAATAAAAAAAAGATAATGATATATGTATAATCAAGAATAATGCAACGTGACACGATTTTTTTGTTGTCAAAAACAAGGTTATTTTTTCATTTACGCGATGACAATATCCCTCATTCGTTCGTTCATGGCGTAAAAAATAACTTACCCCTTGTTTTCAATATAAAGTTATTCACTAATAATTAAACGATAAGATACCTAAAAACTAAATTAAAACCGCTTCTCATCTTTTGTCATTTAACAATTGTAATACTATAAGTTCATTCCTCTTTTGATTTTTAATAAAATGGTTAAATATTGCCTTGCATGTTGTAAAGAACTTGCAGGAGACTTGTGAGAAATTCGTCGATTTTTCTTGGTAATCTTTGGTCTTTCTTGATCTAACCGAACATTCAAATCTTTGATTGGCTCACTAAAATGGAAAAAAAAAGTTTAATATGTTACACTGATTGTTCTCAAGAGTACGACGGATTGACATACATAAAGAAAAAAAATTTTTTTGGGTGAAACATACTTTGAATAGAATGGATCATCGTCTGAATTGATACTTGTACAATCCATCATTGATTCCATTTGTCGTTGTTGTTTTTTAATTGCATATTCTTCAGCATCACCATTTATCCAACCACTACATTTTTTGCCCACGCGATATGCGGCAGTTGATTCGATCATCTTGTCTGTAACAGAAAGTTTTGGCTTTGATTTTGGTTGATGAGAATGACGTTCGCTTGGATAATAATCCATGGCTGATTTCCATTCTTTTGGTCTATTTGGACCTAATTGTGATGGAATATCAGGAGTGTGTCTCTCTGTCACATTTTTCGTTTTTTTCTCTAAAATAATAAATAAATAAATAAACATCGCATTTATTAATGTTGGATACATACATACATACGGTGTTAATAATTTACATGATGCTTACCGTTACGTTTTTGAGAATATTCGGATGGAGGTAGAACTTTAAGGTTCTTTTGAGATTTTTTTGATTTACTATCACCGGTTAACCCAACAAATGAGAAATCCAATGATAAAAGTGAGTCGAATTTATTCGAATTTATTATACTCTTATTTGATTTAGAGATAGAACGATAGCTTGGCATAGAAGGTAAACTATTTAATGAAGATGAATGAAAATCTTCAAAATGACTGAGATGACGAGAATTTAAGCGATGGTCCAACATATTGTCCAAATTATTTTTTTTCCCACTTTTTCCACTTAGATAATTAAATAATCCTTGACGACCTTTTGTTATGGTACCTCCAATGATGCTTATAACAAACCAACCGGTAAAATTTATGACGAAAATTAAACCACAAAAAGTTGATAAAGCGCAAACCGTTATAAAGGAGATAATTATTGAAGAAATATCGAATTTATTATCCTCTTTTTTTGAAAATGAGAAACTTGTAAATAAAGATGACATTTTTTTGAAATAAAAATCAAAGGTGTGTTTATATATAGGAGTTATATAACAATAGAGTTTAATAAAGTTTAATACGGTGTGGTGTAATTGTAGGACAATTTCAAATTTAATCACAAAAAAAGCGAGGGGTGCGCCTATTTTTCGCTGGATGAGGTAAGAGAAATAGTAAAGTTGGAAATGAGAAAAATGAGAATGCTTTTTAACATTGTTGAAAGAACATGGTAGAGTTACACGTTTTATAATAATTTTTTTGTATTATATTCATGTGATTTATATAACGGCTGGTAAGCCACAAAAAAACGCAGTATAAAACAAGTTTTTTTTTTTTACTTCAACTAATGATGTCATTTGATAAAATCATTGTTTCACGAAAAATTAAAATTTTTTTTTTATAAATGATCTTTTTTTTTTAATGAACAATGTTTTTATTACACAGCTTTGTTCTTATTTGAGTGAAACCATTTTTAGTAAAAGTTGTGGTTGAGCCCATGGAAATGATACAAATGTAGCCGAAATTATCAGGTTTTTTTTTTTTGCTCATTGTCGAAATATAACATGACCAAAACTTCATGATTAATTTCCCACATAAAACAATTCCCCAAAGTATACTTGTATATTCCCTTTTTTTATAATAAAGAGTGAAGATAAAAAAAACCAAATTAAAGTTAAAATAAAAAAAATAAAATAAAAATTTTTTTAACACATGATATTGTTTCATTTGAATATTTTTATTTTTTTACGTTTGATGAACGCCTTGATTCATCTTTTTAATGATGTTAATCACATTTTCTTCTCAATTATAATCATTCTAATTGCTTTATCTAGAAATATCCAAACAAAAATTTAACGATCTAAACCAATTAATTTTGTAAAAAAAGGATCTGCGACCTTCCTATCTGTCAAATAAATAAATAAATAAATAAAATAAAGGATTTTGGAATTACAAAAAAAAAAATTTTATTTTATATAGAGGAAAAATGTGGAAAAATGTAAAAATTTAATAAGGTGATTTACATTTTTTGAAAGAGTGAGGAATTTCACTCATAAAGCAATTTTGTCAACCTATTGTTTGTTATCTAACCTATACCTTATGACGCGTATATGGGTAAGATTTAAAAAATATGTGTAGCAATGTATAATGATATAATTACATGGATATTGCATGTAATGATTTCCTACTGCGCCACAAGGATCGGACAATAAAATGTACAAAGTTTTTTCTTCTAAACGTTCGAAACTAAAATTCCGTAGTTTTGACTTACCTAAACTTTAGTTATTAGCCGAAACTACCGAACTCATTTTTAGTAGTTTAGGATAGTAACCTTAATTGATTCATTCATCCCATAAATGTCTTGGTATTTAACAAATATTTATGGAATTTCTTTCTTGGATATAATAATATAGAATATCATGAATTAATACAAAATAAATCAAAAAAATCTCAACAGATAAAAAAAATTCTTTATTTTTTATTTTAAAAACAAATATAATTAAGCAATTTTTTTTGTTTTTTTTTTATTTAAAAAAGTCAGGTTTACACCATTTATGCCTCCGATTTGCACGGTTCCACCATCATTAAATTGAAACTGTTGGTCGGACTCTTGCTACTTCCTTTATAATCACTTCGACGTATTATAGGTCATCATAATTGATGTCTCGCGATGGATTGTTCTTAAACACATCATCAAGTTCTTGATAAAGACGTTTTTTCACTTCGTGATATTGACATTATGTAATAAACCGTGAAATCGATCGTGTTTGCCATCTAATAAAATGTTGAATTACGTGTAAAGTATTTAAAAGAAAGGAAAAGATTATATGATAAAAGATTTTGAAAAGGTTCCCTACGGTATCAAATCCTGCGGTTATGGCTTCTAACAGATTAACTTGAATTTTATGGGACGCATGAATTCCATGAATTCCTCTTGTCGAATATCACTACAACAAATTTTCGAATAAAATTTTCAGATAATATTCAGATTACGACATCATAAATTCCCTTAGAAACCAGCAAAAAAACTTGGACGCGTAATTCCCTAAATAACCTTAAAATGACCTAAAAACTGAAACCAAACCAATCATTCTAAGTTGACGCGTATACAAAAAATATTTCACCCCACGTGATTTTTGGCCGGCAGTATAGAATTTGGCCGAAATTAACCTGATACTGTCAGAGGAAAACCGACATCATATAAAAAACACATTATTTTACGCAGAATATTTAGTAAGTTAAAAATAAACTCCTTTTATGATTAAAAAAAAAATTTTGCTTAATGATATCGCAGGTGAAAAAAAAACCCCCCATTTCTTTAGGTGAAATCACCACAGATTATTTTCACCTATTTATTTAATTAAATATATAACTAAACAGTTTAAAATAAGAATTAATTTTGATAATAAATATGATTTGATAAAAAAATTTTTTAGTCCGGAGCGAAGCGAAAGATATAATCTTTCATGTACGTGATTGGGTCCCGTTCCCTAGTTTAAAATAGATTCCTGGATCATATAACATACAGTATTTTATTTATTTGAAGGGGATCATTTTGTCATTGATTTCACACTTTTATTTTACAATTTTTTTCACACGAAATTCCTCTCAAAATGTCTTCCTCAACTTCAAGTTCTGGCTGGTAAGAAATTTCGAAATAAAGTTGATAACTTTTTCCACTATTATCCCAAGTTACCAAGACGCTCCCAGGATACGCAGATGTTTTAAAATCCACCCAATGTTACTTCATATGATTACAGTTTGCCCTTACGGATTGGATCCGAAATTTCAGTAGAAAATTATAACATATTTCTTGACCGAAACGAAAAATCTGGATATAAATTTCATTGGGACATAGGAAACGTATATATTATTGAAATGGCTAACAGGGAACATGAGGCTATACGATCATATCTTTTAAATGTTTTGATGAACCAAATAATCGTGTGAAGCTTGGTCCGATAGATGTTCTTGGTGAAGTATGTAAGGAATTCCCATTTAGTCTGCTTGGTCTTTGGTTTGTAATCAAATCCACATTTTTTCCTATTGATCATTACAATCCAATCAGAACTGGGGATAAAATTGCGGCAGATATCGCGGTTTGTCCAAGATATGATTATGTTTTAGAACCATTAAGTCAGCATCCGGGGCATCCCTAGTGATGTGAATGTTGTATTTTATTATCATAATATTTTTCTAGCTACTTTCCTAAAATTAATCATATATTTATATAGGGTCGTTCTCGTGCAAGGATCATTTGTGAGGTATCTACTACTCAAAGCATCATTTCCTAGAAAAAAAAATGCGAAGCATGGATGAATGAAGAATATGTGCGTTGTGTCTTTGGTATTAAGCTTCTTCCTAAAAAAATTATAGGAACTACGGTTCATCGGTTGTATGTTTATTATAATATAAATATTATCTCTGAGTTTTTTTTTTAATATTAGGCTCGTTTATGGACACGTGTAGCACGGGCAGAAGGTGTATTATCACAAAATGCAACTTTAGCAAGAGCAGGAGTCTATGTCACGGAGGTAATATTTGATCTACTGATATTTTTATGATCGAATGTCAGAGGACTAAAGAAATTTTTGCAATATGATAGTGGGATTTCGGCTCCATTCAATATAATAATTATACACCAACACCTACTGGTTGCAATGCAAGTGACCATTCCAATCGCAGATGCTTTCTATAACCCCCAATCGCTAGAGGAGTTCCTATGTATTTGTACCTGGTACAGTTATCAGCGTTAATTTTGTCATTGATTTATATGATGTTCAACAAGTAGTTTTGGAAGCACAGTAATATTCCGCAGTTTACACGTGACGTATGCTCCGAAATCTTTTTTTTAAAACAAAGCGCGAAATGAAATAATGATTTTAGGTTCTATTAAGCAAACAAAAAATTAAATGATGGTCATAAAGATCATAGTTGATATAAAACGCCTATCCATTTAATATACAGTTAACTTACTGAAAGAATTATAAAGAAGTTAATTTTTTTTTCAGATTTTAAATGTTGTATTTAATATTATGAATAAAGATGAGGCGTTGAATCTATAAAAAAAACAAGTCAAGACTGAGCCAAATTTTGAGACAATGTCAGAACAAAACTTTGCAAATTTTATCACAAAGGGATGTTGACAAAATTCTCTAGTTGATTCAACATATTTTCAAATTTTAGGTTAAACGGATTCTGGGAAATTCGGCCAAGACTCGTCAGACAATTTCAATCAAAGTGCAATTTTGATTCTCGCATTTGTTTAATGATTGTTTGGCATTCATTATAAGTTAAGAAGATTATTAAAGATCTTATACCATTGAGAGTTTTACTACAAAGCAAATCTTCATATTATGCATTGGAACAAGTTTATATTTTATTATTACTATTTAATATCAATATCTTATATTTATAAAAAGTAAACCTCAACTTTGGTTTTTATTTATTATACACTAAAAGAAAACAATATATGAAAAAAACAACATAAAAAAGGGGGGATGTAAAATATAAAAGAGAATGCGTAATTTTACTTACAACAAATAAAAAAAAAATACTCTAATGTTTTACAATATTTTCTTTTGTAAGAAAAATTACGCATTTACAACTGTAATTTTTTTTAAAAAAAAAGATGTGTAATTTTTTTATTACAAAACAAAAAAAAAATATATCCAATATTTTTTTCTTCATTTTAATCAAATTACTCATTGCAAATTTGTTCAAAAAAATTTTTTATAGAAAGAAATGGAAAAAAAAAAATATGTTGTTGCCTAATCCACCTAATCACCTAATTTTTTTTCTCGCCAATCTAAAAAGTGGCATTATATATATACTTCTTTAACTTCTCTTTTGGTTCGTTTCTCCACATTTGGCTTAATTTTCGAAATAGTGAGATCCTTGCACATTTTCTCTACGATAAAGAATCCGCGCATTGACTGATCGTGGAGCATAATTTGTACTCATTCTTCTGTTTCTTATCGCATTATGTGTGGTGTTCGAATTATTTAATAAAATGTCAATATCGACGTTGAATTTATATGTTGAAGAAAAAACAATCTCTTCATCGCTTTTACCATTGAAATAGTTATTATTGAGCTCATTCATTTTTATATTAGGAATTTTCTTATTAGCAATGAGAGATTTATTTTTCCAGATGTAATTTCACGATGCCTTTTTATAAAAAAAAAAATTTACATGTTGAAATAATTGTTTTTGTTTGATCGAAAAGGGTTTTATCAAATTTAAATCATCTGTATGTTATTGTGATTTGGTTTTGGTTATTGTTTTTGAGTGGTTATTGTGTGTGTTTTTTGTAAGCATATTGAAAGACTTGGTTATTGTGGTCTCAAAAAGCAATTTTTCTAATGAGCTATTTTATGATACACGTGTAACTCTCGAGTTTTGACTGCGCCTGATTAACTACTACAGACTATTGTATTTTCAATAGGACAAAATTAGGAATATTCTTTCTCTTAATGCCTATATGGAGCACCGAATGAGGCAATAATAGTTGTATACATTGTGTTTTTATCAATAAACCTTGTCCTTTTTCTGTTCTTTATAATTCGTCTATTTTGAATTTACAAGTGATCGTATCGTAATGTCGTCTTTAATAAATTATATTTACCTCCCCTCCCATACGAAATTAGGAAGTCGAAAATCTCTGTCATATTCGATTTATCATAGATGCAGTTAGTGATACCAGCCATTGGAGTCAGAGTCCACGGCTGAGTTTACTCTGCAAAAACCAATTCCGGAATTTTCAAATGGCTGAGCCGTGGCTGAGTCGCTGTTCCAAATTTGATATAATGTCAGAACACCTCGAAATTCTAAATTAAATACAATTTAACCGAATGTAAAATTACAAACAGTATTGAGGAGTAAAACAAGGAAACACGATTTTATTTTTTTTTTTTTAACGAAAAATTTTTTGCCCTCCTATCAAAAAGGAATTCAAATACGTTAAAGTGGATACAGTTATTAATGTTTTACATTTTGTATTGAAAAATACTTGATGTCCAGAATATCAAATATCTAAAAAAAAATTGAGGAGATGGAATTAGATATCTACTTTGACGAAGAATATCATGATGAGAGAGTAGAATTATTGACAGGACATTTAAGTAAGTTTGCAAATTATGGAATATCATTCGCTTATGAGTCAAATATCAAGGGAAAGAAAATTTCGCACTGGGAAGTTAGTATGTATTATTCCAGGGGACAATGACAGGGAACTACAAATAAAATAAAACGAGTTAAGGTTTGAATCCACGGTACGGCAGGAGTAAATTAAGTTGTTAAAGAAAGTATTTGTCTCCGGAAGAAAATATAAAGCTATGCCAGTTTATTACAGTAAATGAATAATGGGTAACCATTTCTATAGCTTATGAAAGAATTTTTTGGAAAGGATAATTGAAGCAGAAGAAAAGGGGATTTTGCTGTCATTTAAATTTTATTTAGTAAACACAAGATACGAAGAGGAAATGTACTCGAAAACTTGTTTAAATAACTGTGCAGATGCAGTATACAAAGTCAATAGAAAAATGTGTGATATATTTCTTGACCATTGTACATACTTAATATTTAGCGTATATTCATTTGGGTAAACATTTATGAATTTAGGAATTCTTTATTTAAATGACGAGAAAATCTAAAATTAATTTCTTTATTTAAAAAGAAAAGGTAAAGTACATTAAATAACCTTGTTCTATATTGAATTTTATGATCGTTAGTTAGAAATAATATTAAATGCATTAAATGCGTAGTAAAAGTAATTAAAGATACAGAATTTTCATTAAAAGGAAATAATATTGCCGTATGTTGGAATGCGCAGGAAATTTCGAAAATAAAATGTGTATGGAAATGCGTGAACTCAATAAAATAAAACGTTGATTGGAACGTAATCTCGATACGCGAAGTTACTTTCTTGACCTTTCTCGTATTACTTTCTTGGTCATTTTTTACAGATATATCTGAATAAATTTTCACGAGAAATTTATAATTTTATTTGTCAAGTATTTTTCCTGTTCAATATGCCGATACGGCGATAGCAGATATTTTCGTTTCGGAACGCGAAGCTATATGCCGTCAGATTATATAATTTTTTTTTTTTTAAATCTGAAATTTTAAAAGAATAAAAAAAATTTTTTTTTTATGAAGGAACAATTAGAGAAATCCATTAAATGTCTTTAACTTCGGATTACCAACGCCACATCTTTATCAAGTTGTAATCAAAGATTGCAAAACCGAAGATTGATTCTTACGTGTTTCTAATTAAATTGAAGTTTATTGTTGTTTCTCATTAAAAAAATCGATGTTTGAATCAATAAACAAAGTACAAATAAAGTTTCGACGCCAAATATAATTAAAAACAAAAAAAGAACAAATAAGCATTCTTTAGAAACAGTTAGATAAGGCTGAATAAACGAATAAATAAGGGATGTTTCTAGTGACTCATCTTTAACTAAATTATGAAGTTTTCTACCTAAATCTATTTTCTTGTAACAAATAGACAAATGACTTATATTTACTAATTTTAAGAAAAATTTCTTTGTGAATTGTTGGGAATTGATCTGAGAATTAATTTCAGGTTGGGTGATTTTTCCAATTCGATATCTAGCTAACGAATGACCTTGTTTCAATGATTCCATATACCACATTAAAGATTTTAATTCATTTTTGTTCGAACCTAATAAACCCATTTCATAAATTTGTCCAAGGATATACTGTGCATTAACTTGTCCATTTTCAGCTGAAACCATAAACCATTTTAGAGCATCTTTTTGAGTAAATTGAACCATTTGACCAAAACCATACAAATATCTCAAGAAGAATTGCGCTTCAGAATGATGATGCTTTGCAGATCTAATAAACCAACACAATGATTTATTGTAATCTTTTACACATCCAATTCCAAATTTATACATACATCCAAGATAAAATTCTGCTTCAATATTATTATTACGAGCAGATTTTAAAATCCATTCAAATGACTTTTTGAAATCTCTTTCGATTATGCGTCCGTCTATATATGCCCCTCCAAGATAAAGTTGGGCCTCTCCATATTCGTTTTCTGCGGCTTCTTGAATTAATTTAATTCCTACCTTCTCGTTTCTCTCTAATAAACTACATCCAATATCAAATATTTTGGAAGGTGTAAATTTCTTAACTAATTTATAATATATAATGGCTGCTAGCCGCCAATGAAATGATTTCATCGGATTGTGAGACATCTCAACTCCTTTGAAACAAATCAATACAATAAATGTAAGGATACGTTGTGCTTTCGAATTCAAATTTCTTTTAAACCTAGAATTGAAGATTGTATTCAAATAATTTGAAACTTTGTTTTCAACTTTATAACTTAACGGCATATTGGATTCTTCATTTCTAACTAATTCTTGACTAATGAAGGGACTAAGATTTAATTCTTCCGTATCTACAGAAATACTTAATACTTTGTCCGTAATTTTGGGAATCTTTAACTCCTTTTCCTTAATTACAGAAATCCCTAATTCTTCTGTAACTACGGGAATTCTTAATTCATCCTTTCTAATTAATGAAAGGTTAGTTTCTTCTTTCACTATTAAAGAATTTGATTCTTTTCTATCTAGCAGTGTATCTTTAATAAACAACGACATGTCTAAATCACTCTTAATAGTCTCAATAGAAAAGAAATCTTGTTTCTCCGAAGTAAGTGTCATAAAAATATTATTTTCCTTAATCGATTCATTTTTAACATTTACAACATTCATCGAAACTTGTTTATTCTTCCTCTTATTCATCTTTTTCTTATCCTTTCTATTAACCTTTAGACAAACTTTGTAAGATCCAATTCCAACTTTACAAGTTTTAATCAAACTTTTAATCCCATCATCTTTAAGCCAATTTTTAAAATTTTTGAAAAGCACACCTCGTTCTCCATTTGTATTTGGATGATTTCCTCTTCCGGTAATAAATTTTATTGAACTTATGTTTAATTCAAAACATTGCAAGATTACATTTTTTACAATTTGACATGCTTGTACTTTAGTATAACCATGTAGATCGAACATTGGAATATATTTCAATCCTTTTTCGTTGGTCTTATGGGTTGTTATAATGGTATTTATGATGTTCTCCATTTTATTAACGAAATGGGAAATAGAATGAAGTTTATTATCGATTCAATTTTTATTTAAATTTTTTCTATCCTTCGCTAATATAGAAGTGTGAGAGAGAGAGGATGTTTTTTTTTTTTTTTTTTTTAATAAAGTCATTTAAGAGATTATTCTTACATCATTGTATCCCTAAATTGGACTTAATTAAATGCTAATCTTTGTTGTAATTGACATTTGTATGTAAAAATCTGTTGTTTTTGCAGAAAGGTATCACGCGATGAGAAAAAATTTTTTTAGCCCTTTTGTAACAATTTTTATTTGTTTATCATTGCCAATTAAGGAAATTGTTCTATGCATAATGATTTAAATTAAAACTTTAAAATGTATATTCTTGCATATTCTGCAAAACCATAATTGCTTAATGTAACCATTTAAATATTTTATCACTTTTACAATAAAGTTTAAATAATAAAATCAAGCAAAAATATTTGATAAATTTATAATTAAAACTTTTTCAAAAAAGAAATACAATAGATTATTGGATTGCATATATATTGTTATTTATCAAATAAATATATTAGTTTATATAAAAATAATAGGATTACATTTTATTATTGAGAATTATTAAATTAAATACATCAAAAATAAGTATATATAGTATTATGATTTAATAATTTTAATATTTATTTTTATTTGTTATAACATATATAGTATATTATATTTTAATAATCTTTAATATAAAAAAGATAATTTACTAATATTATTTATAATAATTAATTTTAATTTTATAATTAAAATATAACATAATATATAGAGATTTGTTAAAAAAATGGAATTACTTGACTAAAATTTAATTCTTATTGCATTTTAATCTAATATCATCAAAAATTAAAAATCAAAATTTTAAATTTAAATTTTTTAACAATTAATTTTAATATTAAGAATTATTTTAAATTTTAAGCTAATTTTTTTTAGTATTATTCTTGTAAAAATTAATAATTTAAATTAATTAATATTTGAATTTATATTAAAAATCATAATTTTAAATAAATTTAAGTTTTTTTTTAATTTGATTAAACAATTTTATTTAGCATTATTATATTCTTATTATTTGTTTTTTTAAAAATAATTAATTATTTTTTTTCTTTTAAAAAAAAAAAATCTATAAATAATAAATAATTCTACTTGTTACATTATTATTTCCAAATCGCCGACGGTTAAGTTTCTTATATATATAATACACATCCCAATATTTAAAATTAAAAAATGAAAATGCTCTAAATCCCCCCGAATTTTATCTGTAAACTATACAATTTTGACATTCATTAAGGAATGTACCCACAAATAAGCAGCCACAACTACAGCACCAGCTAACCAAATTGTAAATGTCTTGGCTTCATCATCTTCCAACTTGTTATTCGAATTATTTGATGATAATTCACCAAGATTTGATATTTCTACTCCCTCTATTAAATTCTCTGCAACTCTAATCCTTAAAGTATGTACTACTCCTTCGGTTTTCCAATCTTTAACTCGCCAGTATAGTGTCTGTCTACTTTTAACATATCTCCAATCCCCGTCAGAAACTCTTATATCAAGTAAAAGTTTTTTATAATGATAATTTGGTATATAAATTTCTGTCTCTGGTGCTTTTATGCTATATAATTGTTGCGATGATGGATAATTTGTGAATTTAAATGTAAATTCCAACTTTTTTAGGTTAAAGTTCATTGATTGTGGGATTCCTGGTATTTTGGCTGCATATGGTCGCTAATATATAAAAAGGAATTTCTTAACATCTATACGTATAAAATTTCGATATCACTTCTAAATGCTAGTTGTACTTACCAAAACTGCTTCCAAAACTCTTCCACCTTGATGAAAATACTCATAATCGGATCCATCATCTTGTTCCCAAAAATGTACTTGAGTTAAATCAAAAGGCGATGTAGGCGATGTTGCACAATTTTCTGTAATGTCCGTACAATTAGATATGATTTCACACTCATCATTTACTTCACTACTATTTACAAAAGTATTCTCATTTTTTTCATTAGATTCATTAGATGAAATTTTAAGTGCATCTTGGAAATTTGTTTGTATTTCGAGACTATGAACCTTAATTTTTTTCTCTCTTGTACCATTTACCACATGTACCTTTCTTTCTTTTGTAATGGTGGTAGTATTTGTTATAACTTTCTCATTATTAGGACGAGAATAAATCGAAAAATCCTCACCGTACCAATGATCACCATGTGTATTATCATTTATTGGATTATAATTCCATAAGCTATAAAATAGTGTTGATTTAGGTAAAAGGTTGTTTAAATAACAAGCATTAATTCAATAAACAATAATTTACATACGTAAAATTCACAAGGTTCTTTTCCATGGCACATAATACAGCATCCAAGAAATTACTATGATGCGCCCAGTCATTAGTTAAGAAAGCTTGCTTCTCATTAATATCCATAGGTATACCACACTCTCCAATAACACAGGGTTTTTCTCCTACATATTGAAGGCCATTTTTAATTATATTTCGAACTTGTCCAGAATAATTTTTTTTTGCTCCTGATATACCAAAAAATGTTGCTGCTGCTATATGATGCGCTCCCTAAATAGATGAAATATGATATTAACCATGTTGAAAAGGTAAGATTATCTAATTGATTGATAATTATCGTACCCTTGTTAACCGCTGAACATCGTGCGTAATTTTCCCATTAAATGTTTTTGTAAATAACGCTTTTAAGTCATACCAATGGGGCGCAAATATAACATTATTGTGATGATCACTTGGTGTCCATTTTGGTGGTGGCTTGAAAAGTAAAAAAAAAAGTTAAATTATAATTATCATAATAATACCCATAGTAACCAACACGTTAATTCTAAACGAACATACCTCATTTGGAAGTGGCTCAACGAACACAAAATATTCTTTGTTAACGCTTTGAATTCCTTCCGAGTATCTCTTGACAAAAGGTAAATAAAAATCTTTATAGAATTCCAATTTTTCTCCAGTTTTTGGATGCTTTAGGAAATAATCTTTTTTCAAAACTTTTGGTTTTCCAGTCTTAGCATCAACGTCCCAGACACCATGTTGACGCCATATACAACTCCCGTCTAACCAAGCGGATTCATGTTCTTCATTAATCAGACGTGTTTTATCTTTGCGGGTGGGAAATGGCCATGATTTAATCCATACTTCGATCTCTTGTGGTATACCATCGCCAAGAGCAAATGATTGTAAAGCAGATGGCGAATCTCCAAATACAAGGGTTTTCCCTTCATCATATCGATGTAAATCTGCTAAACCAATATAACCTTGATGAGGTTCATTCATCAATTCAAATCCCATAACTGCCTCCAAATGTTGAAGCCGACTATAAAAATAAAATATTTTTTTTTTAAAATTTTAAAGATATGAAAAAAGAAAAACCCCCCCCCCCCGAAAAGATCCACATTACCTTGCTAAATGTTTATAACAATTTACATATTTTGTTTGAAGAAATTCTTGAACATTTACTCCTTCACAAGTGTTATTTGGAGCAAACACATCACCACCCCAAAATAAAGTAAACATGGTACTACTAGCCAATTTAGTATAATTAGTTGGCCACACCATTGGCAATGAATCACCAGGTTTATGATTCATATTATGGACGTAAGCAGCACCCGTGGTCTTAAATTTTGTCATGTCAAGACCGGCAACCTCAAATGTCCATCCCGGAGCACCTGATCCACCTGAAAACCTTGACCACTATTGAAGAGGGACAAATTATTATTATAAAATTTTGAATTTCAAAAATTTTTTTTTTTGTTTTCATGTCCCTATCAGCCTCTAAAATATGAGTAACTTACACAATCTTGATGTGGATCTATGAAACATTTTATACCATAACGAGGCATTTGTTCAATGACATTGATGAGATAATCAATGAACTCTTCGTCATAAACACCCCTACATAATTGTTAACATAATTAACTATTTGCTTGATTCCCAATTGAGTCTTAATTAAATCTCCTATATTTCAAAATTAAATATTAAATTTGCTTACGGTCCGGCATGTTCCAAAGATTCCCAAGTGACCAATAGTCTAACAAAAGTAAGGCCCCAAGTTCTCAATCTAGCAAAATGTTGATGAACCTCCTCAAGTGGAAAAGGTCTGCCGACGAAAGAAACGTTACGATGATCAAAAAATCCTTCATTTAAATGACTGGATCCATTAGGTTTAGTGGGTAATTTAGAATTACCACATAAATTAACACCACGTAATAAACAAATTCGACCTTGTTCATCCTTAAACCATTTACCATCAGCTTTCAATGAACCAGAAGTAAACCAATTTTGAGCCAAAGCACCCGATTCACCTAATGCTAATGTGTTTCGTTTATCCAGAATAAAATTGGCATCGATGTTGGTTGAAGAAAGAGGTGTATCGGGAGGAGAAGAAGACGCGTAAGAACTGAAAGAGGAAACGGAAGCCGAACGCTTCAATTCTGGAGCTTTAAGATGATGGTGTGATGGGCGGAAATGAGCGGATTCGTCACTTGTTTTATTAACAAAAGATCTCTCGTCAGAGGAATCACCATCAGAAGACAAGGAAACATCGGGATCCATATGGATCTCAGGTGTAGTATTATTGATGGAGGTAGTAGTGGTAGATTTCGTGTTGTCAATTATTTCAACAGATGGCGGAGACATTGTTGGCAACGACGTAGGCTGCTTCGTTTAAAAGAAAAGGTTTTATTGTTGAATTAATCTAGGTGATAAAGAGTAGAATTACAAGTTTTTTTTTTAAATAAATAAAAATCACTATGTAAAAGGTATTTTTTAATACCAAAAAATGACTTTTTATTTTGTTTATTTTAAAACAAAAGAAAGAAAAATATATATATAAAAGAAAGTAAAAAGTGGGGATCTATAGTTAGAAAATAAAAGATTGTGTTTTTATATATATAAAAGTCGGTTCTGAATAAAGTGTTTGAACTGTCGAGTTACAAAGTATTTGCCAATCAAAGAGATCAAAGGTTATTTCCTTATTTGGACCAGAATGTTTTGGTGTAAGTTCCAATAACTGATAAGAATTTATTTTGGGAAAACATGGGCTTAGGACCTGGGCTTAGAATGCATCATATTTTTTTTCTTGGCTTAGACTTTTTTGCCAAGCAGAGAAAAATAATTTATTTAAGAATTCCATAGAACAAACAATTCTCCAATTTTATTATTATATTAGGGAATTATTATTATTAAAAAAAAAAAAAAAAAAAAAAACTCTATTATTTATATATTAAAGTAATATTAATAATTAATTAATTAATTTAAAATAAGGACATTCCGGAGACGACAATGGCTAAAGCAATTGCCGCATTTCCAACACCATTTATCGAGGAAGCGTCATTTTTATTTGTGCCAGAACCATCATTTTTTGAATCACCGCCGTTGCCGTTTTTTCCGTTGGCAGCTTTACCGTCGGTTGAATTGGCACCTTCAACTGGTGGAGCATACGTTGGAACAGTATTGACATCTGCAACATTATAATAGGCAGGAGGTTGTTTTGGTGTACCACAAACTTGAGAGTATGATTCAACACAGGCAATATTGCATTTTGGTTTGTTTTCGACAGGGACCTTGGGTCCTTCGCATGCATTTTTACATGCTTCTCCTGTTCCGATACAATGAGCATGATTAATTGGCCATTGGTAACCTAAATAATCTGGAACTTTATCAAGACATCCACATCCCCATCCCATTGTAGTCGAATTGCAAAAGTTCTAAAATTTTAAATAAATGCAAATTAACATGATGAATAGATAAGATAGATGATCAACTTTTCTGGAAGATAACATACCATCGGAGCCTAATTTGTTGAGGGAAGTTAAAGGAGAGGAAAGTTAATAATGATAATTAATTACTTGAAAAAGGAAGTGAATTTCATCTCATACACGTACTTTTTCGGGTCCACCACAATTTGTTTGACAAAATCCCTTATTTGAGTCGCAAAGTTGTGCTCGTTCTCCTTCGGGTTTCTCTGTGAGATTGTACTGGAATGCCGGAAGGTCTGGATTGTTTGTTTGCGCTATTCGTTTACCCATTAAGACGAAAGTTAATATCAAAATCATTGTAACTTTGGCTTAAAAAAAAAAATTACATACCTTTTATGCTTGGGAGAGAAGTCAAAGCTATAACAACGAAAGCAGTGTATATAACGGAGAATGTCCTCATATTTGCAACGTTAGTAGAGGTTAATAAAAAAGGTATTTATTGCAAATGGGTAGTTTTGATGAAGGTTAGGGAAGGTGAGGAGGTAAGGTAAAAAAGTAAAAAGAGAATGAAAAGGATGGGTTTATAACCGCGAAAAAAAAAGGGATGAGATGAGCAAGTTTGTGTGCGATAATCACAAATAATAATTAATTTATTTCCCTTTAAAGGATATTATTTATTAAGTGCATTAATAGAAAAAAAAATTGATTAACGCCAATAAATTGGTACTACGTTAAAATCAAAAAAACTCGCGAGGAGGAGAATAAATATAAAAAAATTCTCGAATCAAACGTTATTTATTTTGATGCACAGTTTAAGGGTCAAACTTCCTTTACATTTCAATTATTTAAAATAAATCCCATAATAGTTAAAATCAAAGCCATTATGCATATTTTCAAAAATATTTTTAAAATCGGAAGTTGAGCTAATCTCTAATAAGTATTCTGCCTTTCAATTTTTCAACTAAAAATATGTGATTTGTTGATCAATAAAAGTTTTTTTTTTCGATCAAATAAATTAAATATAATTTGTAAATATCCTGATTTTTCTAAACAATATCATACATTTCATTATACTATTTGTATGTATCACACGTTTTAATGTAAAACGAGAATTGTTTTTACTAACATGCAAAATTGTTTCTATAAAACAGTTAATTCCCGCCCAAAATTTTCAATACACATTGGAGCCACATAATAAATTACGTGTTACAAAGCAATAAAGATTTCTGATTTTTTCTCGACTTGTGACCTTTACTGGGGTAATTATTGACGTGACGTGACGTGACCTACGGGTTACAACGGACCGCCTGCTTGATTATGTAATCCGAATTAGACCAAATATGCTTTCTTTTTCATAGATTAACCGTATTGGTTCTCACTCAATTCCCAATAGTATGAAATATTTTTGGAATGTACACAGACTTATTCTAAATAATTGAAATAACATCGTGAATTTGCAGATTAATTATTTATGGGAAGATTCTTCACAAGGAGATCTTAATTTAATTACTTCAAATTAGTTTTTAATTTTGAATTCAATTAATATGGTTTACTATGTATAAAGATATAAAGAAAGTATTGTTTTATAAAATCAAATAGGAATCTAATAAAGATAATTTAATGAATGAATTATAAATTATTTGATAATTGATTTTTTGTAATTTAAGTGTAATGTTACATGAACTTCTTTAAGCGTAAAGATGCATAGAGTTTATACTTAATCGTAAGTTGCATAAAATTAAGATGTTAAATTAATAAGTATTATAGGGCGGTGTAACTAAAAAATGTTCGTGAAATTTAATAAATGAATTTAAATATTTTAAATATTTAAAACTTGATTTTATTTCCTATAAATATAGTATAATAAATAAACTATAATTAATTATAAAAAAAATAAATAATAATAATACTTTTTATATAATGATTTTAAGTATTTAATTAATTAATCTATTTATATAATAAATAAACAAATTGTTTTATTTTTTTTTAAAAAAATAATTAATAATTAAGTAAATTATATTAAAACAAAAAAAAAAGTAGTTTAAGTAGTTTTAATTTCAACAAACCTTAGTTTATTCAAATTCTTATATAAAAAAAAATTAATTAAAAATTAGTTTATAATAGCTATTTTGCTTAAAAAAATTTTTTTATACTTAAATTTTATTAATGTTAAGTAAAAAAAATTTGATATAGATTATTAAATCAAACAAAATTGATATATATATATACTGTATATATAATTATAAGTTATATATATATACAGTTAATTTTAAATTATAATTTCTGATCAAATAACTTAAATATATAATAATTACTTAATTAAATAATTAAAAGTTATATGGGTAGCTTGTTAGAAAATCAGATTCTAAGAATTTTTTGAATAAAAATTGACACTTAGTATATTTTAATTTAATATTATTAAAAATTAAAATGTAATAAAAATCAAAATTTCATTAAAAAAATTCTCAGAACCTGATTTTCTTAACAACCTACCAATATAATCATATATTAAAAATAATTAAATAATTTATAATAAATTATATAAATTATAAAGACCATTTAAAATTATAGTTTAATACTACATTTTATAATTTTAATATTTTTATATATAAATAAAAATTATCTATTAAATATTTTTAAAATTTTTAATTTTAATAATATAATTTTTTTATAAATATATAATATTTATATATTAAAGGTTAAAATAGTGTATAAAATCTATGTTACAAATTATATGCACAAGTTGATGAATTTATTACTAAATTAAAAAAATCATAATAACTTATTATGTAAAATTATCTTTTTTATATATAATTTATCTATTTTGAGTAATATTTTGTATACATTTTATATTAAGTAATATATATTCACAAAAAATTAATTTGCTCATATACATATTATGTATATAGATTTTACACAAAATTTTAAAAGATAAATAATTTTATTTAAATTATAAATTAAAATATAATATAAAAAAATTCTTTTTTAATAATAAATTTTTATATTTTTAAATTTGACGTTAATTAATAAATAAAATTGCATTTGTTATTTTTTTTTATTTAATTTATTAAATTAATTATTAAAATATTTATATAATATTTTTATATAAATTTTAGTAATTTGTTTAAAATTTCAAAAGTTTAATCTAAAAAAAAATATGATTGATTAATAAATAAATTATATATTTTTAAAATATTTCTAATTATAATCAGCAGTTATAATCATTAGATCATGTAATATTATAATAATATATAATTTTAAACTTATCTAATTCTAATGCTACACTATAAGTTAAGGGTGATATCTGTGATATCTATAAGTGACAAATAGGTTTTTATAGCCTAAAAAAAACAAAGTTTTCAGATTAAATAATAAAATTGAAATATAGTAGTAATACAATATGACAGATTATTATATAATCATATAACCTAAGCTTTTTAATATAATATTATATTATCTGATGATTATAGCTACTGGTAATTACAAGTAATCTTTTACTTTTTATATTAAAAAATTAAAAGTAAATATAAAAATATAATTAATTATTTATTAATAAATATGTTGATTTTTCTTTATATAGTCAACTCTTTCTACAACGAATTTTAATATAACGAATTTTACAATACAACAGATTTTCAGTGTCAGACAGATTTTTAAATATAAAAAAACCCTTACTATACCAAATTTAGTAATTAAAAATTCGTACTATGTTTAACAAATTAAAGTCAGAAAAATTTATATATAAAATGACTCTTTTTATAACGAATTTTCTCTATAACGAATTTTTTTTTTGATATAACAAAGTTTTGCTTAAAATGAATTTTACTAGATTTATGTATATAAAATTATGTAGTTTTTAAATGAATTTGAAAAATAAATAAATATTCGCGTTATGCATTATCTTGTGTTTCATATTTTTTTTTTACATATTTTATTTTTTTACATGTTTTTTTTCTTTGCATAATGCCAATAATACCAAAAGTAAACTCAAAGAAACAATTTAATCAAACTATTAACAAACAAGATGAATTTTTTAAAAAAAAACGAAAGTTTCTTATAGCTGTACAAAAAAAAGAACTTTGTTTGAAAAAAACATTATCACCTTTTTTAAAACAAAAAGACTTAGCTAATGAATATGACGTTAGTGAAGGCATGATAAGTGACATTTTAAAGGAGAAAGACCGTTAGCTTTCTGTGAATATTAATTTATATCAAGCCAATTTGAAACGTGATAAGAAAACTTCATTCCCTCTTGTTAAAGAAGCATTAGTAATATGGGTAGATAACACACTCAAAGCTAGCCTTATTATTACTGACGATATTCTTTCAACAAAAGCCTTGAGTTTTGCTTTTTTATTAAAGAAGGATAAGTTTAAATGGTCTAGTGGTTAGGTGAATAACTTTAAAAAATAACATAACGTTAAACATTACGTTATATATGGAGAAGCTGCAAGTGCGTCGCTCAAAGATCTCGAAACAATGAGAGAAAATCTCCGGCAAATATTAAAAGAATATAATCCTGAAGATATATTCAATTGTGACGAAACAGGACTGTTTTGGAAGATGAAACCATGTCGAACGATATCTAACGAACAAACATCAGGAAAGAAACAATCAAAGGATCGTGTAATGATCCTACTCACATGCAATGCAACGGGGAGTGAAAAGCTGACGCCTTTGTTCATACACAAGTATGAAAATCCTAGGGTTATCAAGAATA